TCGCAACTGCCCCAGTTGATTGCCACCAGTCTTGGGCCAATGCATGAAGTCAGATTGTTCCGTGAGTCTGATACCATCCAACTTAAAGCACAGACCAACCCACCCCGAGCCGTTCGCATCTGTTGTTCAATCCCTGGTTCGATTGTTATCCTGTGATTGTTTGCAATTTAATGTGTACTTGTAGTGGAAACTGGTGATCGATTTTCGCTCGTGGTTGAATCGATTGGATGTGATCATGATGGCGGGAGAAAAGTGTGTGGATTTACTTCAGTGTATAAAACGTCTTTGTTATTTCAGTGTTGCTCTTTTTCACCTTCAATTGCATGATAAAAGTGGATACCCTTGTACCTGGTCAGTTCGGCGTATTCTACTTCCAGTTACACAGAAATTTACCAATATTTTCCTAATCGGTGATTTCAACTGCCCCGATCTCAGTACATCAACGACCTTCCGTCCAGTATTCGAACATCAGTTCAAATGGCTGGTTATCTCGCATCCACTGTACAATCATGTGAAGGAGGCCATCAAGTTTGGAAGCCTGCAGTCACCATCAACACTGGGTTTCTTTTTGGCTGACGAAGATGTGACGATAGAATCTATCAATGTGACTCCCCCTAGGATGCAGTACTTGCATTAAAAGGAAGTTCTCCATGTAACACACCAAACCACTGATTATACAAGGTTTCAGAACTTGGCGCCCTCTGTTCACTGGATTTCCTTTGGTCTCCTTGCAGACATTTATCGAGAGTCTTACAACCGTACTAACATCTGCGACAGGCTAGAGAAATCACCAAACCTAGCATCCGGAATCCACCTATTCGAAGTCGCGCGAGGAAATGGGATTCTCTAAGTTCTGGCGGGATTATAAACGTCTTCCGGATGTTTTCACTTGGAATAATTATCCTATATATCCTATATAATTATCCTCTGAGAAACCACAGTGCCAGGCTGATTCGTGAGGGTAAGCTGATGTACCAAGAGGCTCTAGCACAGAGATTCATCTCTAACCCTAAGTTGTTGTATAAGCTCGTTAACTCAATTCGGAGAGTAAAGTTTGATATACCGGCACTGGGAGATATGCAGCCACTCCAATGGAGGCAGCCGAGAACTCAGTATTCTTAGGTTTTTGCTTCACCAAATGTCTATGGATCTCTCGCCAATTGCATCGTCTTCCATATTCTACGTTGAAATTTCCACAACAAAACTAATAGCTTTGCGAAAATCGCAATCCCAGGAGCGGACAACATAAACCGAAATCCCTTACCTTTTTGGCAGATCACATATCCGAACTATTAGTCATTCCATTCCTACGGATGTTCAACTAAAGAACACTCCTACAATCGTGGAAACGAGGAGTTATTTCACCGATATACAAAGGTAGTTGTCGTAGTGACTGCACTAACTACCAACCTGTAACACTCCTTCCGGTGTTTTCGAAATTCACGGACTCCATTGTGGCAGATTCCCTGATGGAACATTTAGAAAGATAAATTCTTTCGACAGGTCAACATGAGTTCAGGCAAGTGATCCTGCCACACCAACTTGCTTCTTGTTCGAGGTGAGTGGACCAGAACAGTCGACGAAGGGATGCGGTGAATGTGGTTTATCCGGACTTTTCGAAAGCATCTGATCGGGTAAACCATCAAATTTTGTTTCAGAAGCTCTACGATTACGGCATTTAGGGTTTCCTGCTTGTTTAAATGAGAACTTTCCTCCGACAACGGACTATATCAATTCCTGTTTCTGATTCTCCATCCGATTATATCAACGCTGTGTTCTACAAGGGTCTGTACTTACTCCCCGACTTTTCTTCGCATTCAGAAATGACCCATCGAATGCGTTAGAGCCAAAAACCATACCGTTTGCAGACGACGCCAAAATCTGAAATACCGTAACAGAACCTGAGGGTTCGCTATCAGTTCAATAGACACTTAGGGTAGCTTATCAGTGGTCTACGGAGAACGAAATTGAATTCAATTTTCCTCAATACAAAGTCCCTACGCCACAGAAACACATTCTTGTATTTCCTCGGAAATCACCAGCTTCCGAATGCCTCAAGTGAGAAGGACTTAGGTATTGTTGTTCAAGACGACTTAAGTTGTTCGGTCAATCGCGTCAGGGCTTCATCCGCTACTGTGAATGACAGTTCAAATTTTTGTTTATCAGATGAAATTCTTCGTTGAACTTGTGACAAGTTCAGTAGCCTCGGTGGGGCTCGAACTTACCCATGGACGCTATGCACGAAAGTGCATGGTTAAACTTAAAACTGATGGACGCCATCCAAGCTTGGAGTCCATGGTTGCAACGTCATCGTAAGATGCTGGAGCGTCTACAGAGGATTAAGACCGGGATGGTCAGGGGATTGAACTGACTCACCTATGAAGTGGGATTACGATCATTGGGACTATCTTCTACTCAGTACCACCGATTTCGAGGGGACTTGATTTTGGCGTATCAAATACCGCAGAACCCAAATAATCCAATTCGACCGCTGCTCAAATTGTCTCCCAAAATACACCTTAGGGGACATCGTTTCAAGTTGCCGATTCTAAGGTATCAACTGGAATGCCTGTGCCAATCTTTTACAGTCAGAGTATGCAGAACACCCTTTCGTCTCACGTCGTTTATGCACCAACTGTTGAATCTTTCAAGCGTAGGCTCAATGAAACCTTGGTGCATCTCCTATTCCTTCACAACTAAAAAAACGCAAACCAGTTGAAGGCTACATTACATTATCTCCTACCCGGAAGTTTGTGACATTTTACCATTTTTGCCGAGAAATGATTCAACCGTGTAGATATTCTGTGGGCTATAGACACCGTGTTTACATGCACTTGACACTTCATGGAACTGCGCATCGCATCTTCTGCTGGTACTATGCGACAGGTGCGCATTCACGAAACATTTGCTAGGTTTTCAACTTATCCTTACTTGCGCCTTTTTGTCTCCCCCTACTCGATGCACTTCGTCTTGGATAGTGATGGGCTTGTGGGACCTGGTCTATCAGCCTGTACAGAGTGTTTATCAAGGCAAATGGGACACGGGTCGTTCACGAGACACCCAAGGTGGTCAGTGGCCTGCGACTGAATGGGATTTGAGTATTTGTGATCTTTCCACTGGAGCCGGTAATGTTGTGTCCGGATCAAGTGGTGGGGCTGGAGGATTTATTCAAGGACTTCGACGCGGTACTCGATCGTTTTCCACCAGCACATTGTGGGCCACTTTGCAACTGAGCATTCAAAGTGTTCGAACAGTTCAGTCCATCGCAGAGGTGAGCAATCGTATTCATCCCTTTGCTTCAGTCGTACTGTTTCATAGGAATTCAGCTCCTCGTGTCCCAATGGTTTGATGATCACTGTTTCATTTTCTGTATTTACCCTCCCTCTGAATACTACGAATTCATACAAGATTATCATAGATATTGCGATATTTAGTTGTTTTCAACTCACGAGTATTCTTTTGATCGAACCTGGCAGACATTTAATTTCAGAAAACCACTATTTTTACCCTTTTGACACATTACAGTTATTTGTTTCTCTAAATTTTTGTTACCATATGAAGACTACGTACTGCACGAGGCAAGTGGATTTTCTGTCGAGATTGTGCAAAGTTCAGTAGCCTCAGTGGGATTCGAACCCACGCATGGACGCCGCCTCTTTCTCAATTTCTTTGCAACCCTAGACCACTGAAATACTCCATTTTCTGTTCGACTCCACCTTTAATCTTCCTGTCTTTCTCCTATTATTCACCCAAATGGGCAGCCAAAAAACAGCAACCAAAACCCGCGCACGAAGGTGCATGGTTAATGGTTGTACAAACTGAAACTGACGGACGCCGCCAACGCTTTTTACAGCGCACGCTCTACCAGCTGAGCTACGAGGCCACACCGATCTTTTCACATTCGAATTACCCATCTTACTTACAGAGGATTTTCACCCTTTGAATCAGTAAGGAGTACTCATTTTTACCGCATCGCACAGCCAAATCGACGGACCTACTGGTCGTCTATAGCGTATCGTGATATTTCTGTAAAAAGCTGGTGAAAGGCCACCAAAAGATACCAGTTCGCAGTACGAACTGAAAATGTAGGCTTTTATTTTGTGTTCATTAATACGATACCCATGCATCGAACGTTATATAGGAAAGAGTCACATAATTTAGAACTGCGGTTCATGAAAATGGAATTAAATGTTTGCATCTGTCTATATGTTGATTCCCTGTTTGCTTATAATCCGCTCACTTTTATTGTTCGGAATAGTGACTCCTACAGGAGTGGCACTCAATTTTGTCATCGTACTCTTCCGTTGCACTTCAGACCGCTTATGACTTGGTCACTCCTGGACCAGCACTTCGCAGTCGACAGCTCCGACTACGACAGCCAGCCGATCTGCGTGAAGGACTTGGTAACGCAATGAATGCCATGACTCGCGGATTTCAGATGGTCACCGAGGACTTGTGTGGTGCTACTCGCTTGCAATCAGAAGTTGATTTAGGCTATAAAGGACCAGTAGGCATGGTTGGAGATGTGCTGCGCCAAATTCCACCCACAATTGTTGCTCCTGTAGTGACTGGATGTGAGGTTAGTGAAATCACATTCTTCTTTTTGCCCGTACCAACGAGTCACAGGTTTTCTCACCTAATGTTGATCCATTCTCGAAGTGATAACAGGATAGTATATATGAGTAGTTATTAAAACTTCACATGTTGAAAAACCATAATCATTGCAATACATCACCCCTTCTCCGCATCTTCAAGTTTTTCTGGTTATCATGATACAACCCATGGTTGCCACTGTCAGTGTGCTAACACTCATATGGAACTGGTTTCGAAACTCGCTACTTATGAGTAGCTAAATATTTAGTAAATCTGAAGCCAGACCGCCTATTATTTCACTTCGTTCCAAGTAAATTGCCTGCAGGCCATTACAGGAAGTTAACAATCCCTTTTTCAATTTAAGATGTTCGAATATCAATTTAAGATGTCATGTTGCCATTTGGATAGTACGATAGTCCGATTACTCTATCGTTTCACATTATCTTGTACTTTTTTTATGATCCTGTTGTCATGTGCAGCCCATCCGTGTGGTGAAGGCACTCCTGCTGTACAGTCGAAGTTCACGGGACCTGCTAAATAAATATGCATATCCACATAATTTGTTCTGTCCTCCGGAATTCTATATCCGACATAGTTAGCAGAATCGTTTGACGCGAAAAAGGGCAGTTGGCAAAATTCCAAGAAGAGTTTTGCTTGGGTATTGCAACCCGTACGTAAGACAAATTCAAAGTTTTATTATGATTATCCGTTTACCTAACCAGCTTAGAAATATAGTGGATGTATTTTATACGAGTCAAACATTGGCTCAGTGTCATCACCGCTTAAACTTTTTCAATTCCGAATTTCCCACATGGCGCACCCTTCCATAACTGATTCGCCTGTGGTGATTCTCTACACTTAAGCAGCATCCGATTCAGAACTTATCCTCCTCCTATGCCGACCCGAAAATCACACAACCGATATGGCTCATTTATCGATCAGTCAGATAGTTCAGCCGCAACAAGGGACCTGGTGCTTGCCCAGCTAATCCGAGTGAAAAACCATACCTTGTTAACAGCCGCGAGTCTTAGACAGGCCCAGTGAACTACAACTGTACAGCAGAAGTGCCATCATCACATGGATGAATTGCACATGACAAGATCATCACAAAAAGTACAAGTCAATGTGAAACGATGGAGCGATCGGGCTATCATACTGTCCACATGGCAACATGACATCTTAAATTAAAAAAGGTGTAGCGATGCACTGCTACAAAAACCTGTTCTAATTAAAATCTGACAGGTTAATTAAATATGTCACATAAAGATCCCAAGAGAAATTTTGAAACAGTCCCTGCAAGCTTATCACGGTTATTATTTCTCTCTTCTCTGCTTTCCACATGAGCATAATTTTAGAAAATAAGCGACCACGGTTGATTCCGGATGACCCGCCTCCAATGAGTACCACATGTAGCATAGCATGTAGGTTTGTTAAATTATGCTGGCTGGTAAATACAGACAATAATCCGGTCCTCTTAGCCAAATATTTATCCGGCCCAATCATCATCAGATGTTCTTATTTGATTATTGACATGATATTTATCGCGAGAAGTTAACATTTCGTTTAGTCTTCTCAATCGCTGACGTAAGACCAACAAGCATATTGGGTTGGCAAATCCTAGTGAACGGACGAGTACGAAAGTTAACCAAAACAAGAGGTCGGGCCTACGTCAAGTGAACTGATTGCGTCAACCTCTTTTTGGCACACAAAACAAGATGATGCAATCAGATTAAAAACGTCTCTTGAACTGCCAACAATTTTGTATTGCAGTTACGTAATGAGGGTTTGGAATACGATGTGGGATCAGTTATGTTTGGTTATCATTAGGTGTTTTGCAATGGATGACCCCAAGTAACCATCTGATTATCAACTGCAAACATTCTGGAGTGTGTTCGGCCATTCGTTTTGATCACTGACGGTTAGTTCTGCCTATGTATACGTCACCGAAACTGCAGGTTAACTGGTATGCTGTGTGTGAGCTACAACTGGGTTGCCAAACACGTATACGTTTGTCTATTTTTGTGCACTGAAAACATTCGTTTTGTATCCGAAGGAACGACTACAACCGGATTTATCATGCAGCCATGGGCAGTCCATTAGGCCCAAGGCTAACTGATGTATTTTTATTTTGGGTTGACCTCTTGTTTTGATTAATTTTCATTGCACTTATCTATCTGTACTGGTCCGTTCACTAGGATTTGCCAACCCAATATGGTTGTTGATCTACGTTAGCGACTGAGAAGGCTAAACGAAATGTTAACATTTCACGACGTGTATGTGCTCTCGGTCTTGACGCGATGGATAAATGGGACCCAATGTTTCAAATGACATTGCCAACTAGGCATAAAATATGAGCGGAAATGTGCGGACAACCTGAATCACCAGATCCAAGTATCACGATAAAAGTTAATCAGTGTCTGAAAAATAACGAACTAACCTGCTGGCCGCTTGAGTTAACGATATCGAGGGTAGTCAGGTGATGCAGTACAATAAGTGTATCGTGCATGCTTTCTATGGGAAAAGGACTGCTGTTCAAGCAAACAACCAATAACCACACAATTTAACGTACGAATAGTATATATCACTGTTGGATATTAAATAACCTCCTCGGAAAAGTTGTCAGCCAATCGACAGTTTGATTATCTTGGCTATCCTTTATCAAGGTCGGTTTGGAATCGAAACCGATTTGGATAAAAGATATCCACGGTAAACAAACCTTCGACTGAATACCAAGTGTTCTGACAATGGTATGTTGCTAAAGATCAAGCATTTGCAAGAGATATTTCACATGGTGCATCGTGTCTGTCGATACGCACTAAGACTAACTCAGATCAAACGCAGCTTACTCATTTTTTCCTGTCCCGATCATCATGACCGGCTTCTAAAGGTTATTTATATTCTACATGATCGCCGTAAAAGCCGTACTTCAAATTATGGAGTATGGACAACAGCGACTTATTATCTACGCGCTTGGGTATTTTCTGAATCCTGTTTATCGGTTACAAAGTTGACCGACAACTTTTTGAACTGACAGCACGCTCTGCTCTATTTTCATTTATCGTCGAGTTATCACCGTCATCGAACACAGAACGATAATTGTAACTTAGATGATTACTGGCATGTTCGCATACTTGATAAATATAAAATGCAGCACTTCGGAAGCGAGTTATTCATGGAATCATTTCTCTTTCGGCGACTTATTTCTCCCCTGTCTATATATAAATATATATATATATATATATATATCATTTTGTCTTACACTATCCGTTTCTCACCTCTTGATTAAACGTTTTTTGCTTTCATTTTACCCCTATGGTTGTACGTGTCTCCAGTAATCTTTCTAGGGATGCCCAAAAAGGACTTTAAATTGCTTTCCAGATCAATAACACATTTGTCAAGAAGTAGCGGGATTTCCCGTGAAACTATCTGTCTCTTCATCATTTCACAACATACAAAGTCATGCTTTTCGTTATCATAGACAACCCTTCACATCCGTTACATCAAGATCTTATTAAGTGTGTCCTCTTCCACCCGGTCCCGTTATAATTGTATATTTGCTCGTACGACCGCCTATCGGTCTTCTGTGGTGCCCTATTTTGCCCGTTTTCTTGTCAGCCCAGAACGCATCGCTTCGGAACCTAATTCACTCATATCGTAAATCGTTTTCTTTTTTTCCATGCTTACGACAATTCTGCTATAATTTTGTTCGATAATTGTTGGTTGACTATGAGACTGTGGAATATCCACCTTTCGGGGTGCATAAAGCAAATACTTGACTTGACCTTAGTGGTTAAATGTTTTGCTCCCTCTCCCTTCTCTCATTTGTGCAGATCGCGGCCAATATTTTGGGCGGATTTCGAAATCAACTCCGACCGGAAGCAAAATTTGAGGATGAACAAAAGTGGAAAGATACACATGGCTTATAGCATGCAGTCCGTCCAGTGCTGTTTGTTTACCGTCATCCTTAACCTACGAAGCTCGAGTATGTACAAAAAAACCTTACTCAGGCATGCATTCTCATCGAGACCATATGCCCGTGCATCTTGATCATGAATTGGACACGATATCACCCTATCACGTCCACACTCATCAGTGATGTCATTCGGGATATGGTCACACACACTTGTTTTTGATGCTACATGTTCCCTATTCATTTCTCCAAATTCGTTGCTCTTGTTATCCGGGGATCCTTTTTTACATGTGTTCAGAAGTTGCTTCTTTCCGTCAGTTTCACCCTATTTCTTTCAACATTTCAATGTGCTACTGCAGTCTTTCGAAAAATGTGAAACGTAGGCTATTGGCTCATTTTGGGAGCACATGATCGTTTGAACGCTTACTTGCATTGCACCAGACTTGCTACATCGCGCTCGTTCGATTCGGTGATCGTTGAATATTACGTCATTTATGATTCGGCTACTTACGGGGATTTCATCAGACATCATCCTTTCGTCCACATCAAAACCATTATTGCACCCCAGTTCTTTGGACATACCTAAAACACATGTAATTTGTACCCTTCCCCGAAGGTCATTCAACCTTCTCCCTTCCGTTGCTAATGTGATTCTCAGATTTTCCTCGCTGAATTTTCATCATACACGCACGTAACCAAGTTTGTATGAACACTGAAATTCCCAGAACCATTTAAACTAAAATGTACCGTCATTTTTACTTCATTATAAGACAGTTTTTCAATGAAGATTTTTAGAATGACTCCAACCTGCTTACGCACTGTGCAATAGCGGAGCCCGCCATTTTGCTGATTCGACTTAACCCGAAACCTGTGAAAACTCAGTCAACCAGTGGAGTATGGTAGAAATTAAGTTCTTTGTTCAACCTCAGCCTACGCTGAGACCTGTGTAAGAGGTAATAGTGTAGCCTCATTTGATCTACACTGCAATGAGACATGCTAGTATCCTCGCAATGATTATTAACAGAAACTCACTTTAGGCAAGCTGAATCGAGAGCTACTGAACATTGAGAATCAATAACGAAATCTTCGTAGTTGACTATTTATTAGTGGCGCATGGTTCAAATCAATCCTGATCAGGAAAGAAGTGGGCGTCGCACACGGCGACAGAAAGTTACAGACCGGGCTCTAAACGCGCCCAATGACGAAAGTTTGTGGCTTTTACCTCTTTCTCATGAAACCTGAGAAATAGGTCATTTACTCATTTGGTCCAGTTCCAATCTCACAGCCTTTTTGTATTCGGGGAGACCATCTTTCAAGGCGTACACACGACTGCCTTGCGTCGCAC